CCCACTGGCTGCTCCAGTCCCTCTCTGATGTTTCACCGAGTCTGGAGGATAATTCATCCAGAGAGTAAGTAGAGCGCATTTTACGTTCCTGCCAATGTCATCCAGCATGAGGTCAGCTGATGAGGACACATGATACATAACAACGCGGATTTTCATCCATGACGCGCCCTGCTGATGGAGATCAGGCCACACCCCTCAGACAGCATTCAAATGGCATTGTTTCTGGCACATGCATGAACCCTGACCTATTTCCTGCCAAACCCTGAGGAGGCGGCTTTATCTGCTGCAGGACACCCAGCCACACCAATCACCAATGTTGACTTAGTGTTTGCCACATGCACTAAATCCTGACCGGCTCAAAACAAAACACGGTTTGATTCTGGGGTTTGATTTGGCATGCTGGGCAAAGCTGCCCTTATACTGAGTAAAGCTATATATATATATATATATATATATATATATATATATATATATATATATATATATATATATATATATATATATATATATATATATACATATATATATATAAAAATATTAGTGTTGCACTGATGCCATTTTTTCGCCCCGATAACTGTCTGTGCAGTATTGGCTGATACCATAGCGATACCATCTGTTTGAAATTGATGTGTGTGTATATATGAAGAACTGCATACTACTTGGATGTAAAATAATTGCATTCATGGCTTCATGGCATCATGTTAGCTACCTTAGAGAAGCAGGAAAAAGACTAATACAAAGTGAATCCAGTTTTATTGCCTACCTGGAACGGGTGACAATAGTTGAATAATATACAAAATAGACTTTTGATAATATACTTTTGGCTATATATATATATATATGTATACACATTCAAATTCAAATATCTTCAGATCATTAGAGGTTTGTAGAGTATCTAAAAATGTAATAAAGTGAGAGAAACCTTTAAGGAAATTACTCAAGAGTAAAAAAGTATTTCAGAAGGTTACTCAAGTACTGAGTTACTAATCTACTCATTACCCATAATTATAACTAGTCTAATATTTTACAACATGATGTAAAATTCAACAAAATATGAAGTAATAAGCAAATTCTGGAGTTTCAAGGATTAAGATATAAATAAACAAATACAAGAATGGCACAATAAAACAAATAAGGTGAAACAGACTCTTTCCAAAATATATTTTTTTAGTTATAAAATGTATTGAATCAATAGTTGTAGTGTGTAGAATAGGTTAGACTACAGTAACAATCTCCAAATAGCAAGACACACTCAGCACATGGAAAATAACTTTAACCACTAAGTCTTGAGTAGAAAAAAGAAGAACTTCTGTCTCTTCCTGGTGGATATGTGTTTAAAACCAGCTTGTTTTTTTATTATTGAAGTTTTTTTTTTTTCTGCTGGCTTTTAGAGCTGTTTAGATAATTGAAATTTTGAAAGCACCAAGAGATGCTGAGCTTGCTGTTCAGGGTGCTGCACTGGAAAAGAAAAAAAAACAGATAGTTTGTCTTATGCTGAGATGATAGAAAACACACCCATTCATCCTCTGTTTCTATTATATGAATACAAAGAAAAAAAACAGCCCCACTCAGCTCGGTCTGCTCATGCATGCACACAGATGCTTAATTTAGCCTCTGGTTTTTGAAGCTTGTTGTTTGATCCAGTGCAGTAGTGATCTGAGCCTGAAGTGTTCACTATTATTATTCTGCAGAGCCCAGATGAACCTGCAAGCTTGCAGATCTGGATACAGCTGTAAGGCCTGTGGCTCTGTTTTAGTTGCTGATGTGATTTAGTTCTAGAAGTGGTGTGCGATTTAAAACAAATGTTCTCTAACTATTTAATTGGTTCACTAAAGCTCCTTGCTGTAGCATTCATCACTCGTAAAAATCGATGATTTGCACATTTAGAGATTGAAATGTATATTTTTAAAAATCATCTCAGACTTAAATGGATCAGACAGAGAGGATCTGTGAATGTCAGTTTTCATATCCAGCTACAGATTCTCAGTTTGATTTGTCCTTCGACCTGAACCATACCCTTGTGTCCTGCCGTGGGTCAAACCTTCTCCCTGATTTCAGGTTGTTTGCTGTCCTGTTATGTAATTATGATGCATCTAGTGCCCACCCCAGTAAGTGTGGCAAATATTTTATATAATCAAATAATATTCAGTCATATATGTAACACATATACAATTAGCTGTGTGTTAGAACAAGAAATGAAAGTTTGAATTGAGGTTAAATTCATTGTCGAACAGATAACTCTGCACATATATGGAATACATTCATAACTTTGTTTTTAGTGTATAAGAGTTTATTAACAAAGTAATTCAGCTCCACGTTAAACATATTTCAGTTAAAAACTCTTGACAAAACTACCGGTAGTGAAACTCAGCTAAACTAAGCTATTATGAAGAAAATAAAATGGTTGAAAACCATAATCAGTACAATTATGCAATGCTTTCACAGTTTGGCGTGGATTTTATGTTAAAGAACCAAAGTTTATCTTGAAGAGTTTGGAAAAAAGGTCAATTTAGCTGTCAACTAATTTTAGGGGTGGGAATGTTTACTTCCCAATTCACAGCACAAATCCCAGAGGTGATTTAAGCATTATCTAGTAAAATCATATTTTAGAAACCATAAACTTTAGTTAATTGATGCTGAACTTTGATTGAGCTGGTAGCTAGCAGACTTTAAGAGACTAATTTTAAAGGACTCTGGTCATATTTTGTTAATCAAATGTGATGAGCAATTGAGGACAGAGAACGATAATGTCGTATCAGTGTTTAAACCCTTGAAATAAAGCTTTTTTAGTTTTATAAAGAACAGCTCAAAACATGTCAGCATTGTGTACCATGCAGCTCAACTTGCTTGCTTGTCTTACACAATAGTAAACGCATGAAATGATGGAAAATCTTCACAAACACAAATAATTTAGCTGGAAATTGTTCCCTCAACTTTGCCAGATGTGTAATCTGTGCTGATCTCCATTTCTGAAAAGGCGGAGTTGCCTCCAGTATTCAGCAGTCTAGCATTTCAGGCCTGCAGGGGTTCTTTGTTCTCAGAGGCTCAGATCCTCTAGTCTCTAGCATCTCAAAGTTTCCTGAAAACCCAGAGAGAAATGTTGCAGAACCTTCTGCTGTTGCAGCAGTTTGAAGTTAGCCACCAGGTCAGGCAGCTGCTTTGCTCTAAAGCAGAGTTGGGGGAGGCAGTTACGCATGACCCTGTGGAAGCATCTTTGAGAGAGTGGGATTTGCCGAGATTGGAGAGGAAACTCTAACAGCCAAGTGAAAGTGCATCCTCCTTCGCCAGTGATCATGCTTAAAGGCATACTATGCAACATTTTTCAGTTAATTAATGTGTTCCATAACGTTTTGGATGATTAAATGAGTCATTTCAGGTCAAACAAAGGTTTTCTCGGCCGCCCTGGTGGTCTGTAGGGGAAATACCGTACTTGCAATTGCAGGAGCCCTCGGCCCGCACCCACAGGCTCAGAAGTCTCGTGCATCGCAAGAGTCTGTCTTGCTTTGCGGCGAGAACTGCTACACGCCCCCAGTGAAAGGCATGCTTGTTGCTAGCACAGTGGCGATATTTGTGCAGTTATCATGCAGTAGACATGGTGATTCGTTGCGTTCGCCTGTCTGCTAAGCTCAAAACAACCGCGCCTGGCTTGACGGAAAAACAAAGAGAACAGCTGAGCATATTTAAGACAGTGCACTTTTACTTTCGCCCTCTGGGGGGAGCCTCGCTGGAAAATCAACACCGGTTGCATTGTATACCTTTAATATCAGCGTGGCCCAATAGTCTTGAGCAGGTTTCCACTCAGGATTGTCCCCTTTGTAGCTCCAGCTTTCTCCCCGCATCATAATACTGCCGCCACCATGTTTACATTCAGGGTGTTATGCAATATTAGCTTTCTTTATAGGAGAAAAGGATCAAAGCACCTTCTTCTACATTTTTTACTTTGACCCAAAGAGGACTAATGGCTTTTTCTCCTAGCTTTATTTTTGTTATGTTTTTCACCTTGCTGTTGTTCCATAAATGCATATGTGGAGTGTACAAGTTGGTAGTTATTGCCATATTCTTCCACCTGAGTGGTAGGCATTTGCAGCTCATGCAGAGTGGCCTACTTTTGGAATGGCTACTTAGATTTTTGTTTTTTTTACTAAAGGAAATTCCATTAAAATACATATCAGCTGTGCTGCTGCCATCAACACCTTTGTTTATAGATGTTGGAGATTGGCCTGTTTTTCAGTGTAGTCCTGTTTCTCTGACTGTGACTGGCTGGATGTGCTCTCTTCATCCTCTGACATGGCAGCTGACTCAGAGCTCGTCTGCCTGGTTGTGTGTTTTCTGGATGGGGCCGTCTTTTACAGCTGCTTTTTGTATCTCTGTTTCTGTCCCCTTGAGCCCCAGTCAGCCTCGGCAGATGGCCGCTCACACTGAGCCTGGTTCTGCTGGAGGTTTCTTCCTGTTAAAAGGGAGTTTTTCCTCTCCACTGTCGCTACAAGCATGCTAAGTGTGAGGGATTGCATCCGAGTCAATGAGTCGATGCAATCAACTGGCTTTCCTTTGATAGAAAACTTTGAATCAATATGACTGTATGATCTGGTGAACTGTAAAGTGCCTTGAGATGACGTGTTGTGAATTGGCGCTATGTCAATAAACTGAATAGAAAACTGTATTGAATTGACATAAAGGATTTTACTTGTCACCTAAGAGCATGTGAAACAATTCTAGGGATGTGAAAACTTAAAGGTGCTGTATAATGTTATGCAGAGTGGCTCTTCAGAACTCCCTCTGACCTCCGTGTTCATTCAGACGGTGTCTGCAGGCAGTGATCGATGCAGCACTCTGCAGTCTCCCTGCACTAAGTTAATCTCTTAACATCTCCGCTCCCACTCATCTTCTCCCCGTCTCTCCTCTCTCCTCTTCAGGAATCCTCCCCCCTTCCTCCTGCCTCAGCTAACCCTGCGGAGCTCCGGCTCCAGTGGCCCATGGCCCCGAGCCCTCCACGCCTCTGAGCCAAGCTGGCCTCCCCGGCCTCCTCGCCGACCTCGGCCCCAGACCTGGATCCAGACCCGGACCCTGAGCCCGGTGAGCGTCTGGCTCACGAGGAGCAGTATGTGAGCGTGGGGGAGTGCAGCCAGCTTGATGCACGTCTGGCGCCACCTGCCTGCAGGGACGCTGAAACTATCACAGGTGCAGTATTTACTACCTTACATTTTAATATTTCAATACAGATTAAAAACATGTCAAATGACTTAGCAATAACAGGCTATGGATTATATTCCGTAAAGGTTTAAAAACGATCCACTGGACTTGGTTTCCAAGTTTTGAAGACGTTTTGTTTCCCCTCCAGGAAGCTTTCTCAATTCAAATGTCTGGATCCGCAGTGAGTTTGAGGCTCAGCTATGGATTATATCTAGTTATTATGCTTACTTTTGCATTAAAATACAAGTCAAATCCAGGTAGAGATAAAGACAGATGTCTGTAAATATAAATGCAAAGTTGCTTTTAAATGAATAGTGGACAATTTTCGCAAACTTTTGAAAAGACTCACCCTTTCCACTTAAAAAAAAGATGCACATGCACACCCCTGTACCTGCTGCAGAGAGGGAACGCCTATTAAACGCGTGCAATGCATGCACAAGCCTATTTCTCCCCGTGCACGCTCTGTTTAAAAGTTGCTGTTCTCATTGCTCAAGCTTACTTTCCAACAGAAGATTTGCAATTTTTCCACTATGTCAGACTCACCACCGGTAAGTGAAAATGGGGATGAGAGCATAGGACGGCCTTATGTAAACATATCACCAGAATGATTGACAATTAGGAGGACCACTTATTTTGATGATCCACCTGGAGAAAGAGCGTCCTCCACTATACCTTTATGTGTTTAATAGATACCTTTTGAATAAAGGGTTTCAAAAATAAAGATCTTTAAATATACACTGACACAGCAGACGTTCTACAGCTCTCAAAGGGATGGTTTGTATTTTTGAAATATTTCCATTATCTGTAGTAAAAAGACTGCATTAAATTTGTAGAGAATTAAACAAATATGAGATCAGAGGAAGGCTAACAGTTAGCTAAAAGGAGGGAGCCGTTTTTGCAACATATATATTTGAAATATATTGCTTACAGTAAACAACTCAAAATAAATTTTTTTGCTTTAAATTATCTTTTTTCATGTTGTTTCCTTTGATGTTTCTCATCATCAGACCACATTTTACGATGAGACAAAGACCCTGGGAGTTGATGAAGGTCTTTAATGATGGTTTTATTTATTGAGTGGAAAAGTTATCTAAACCAATCTGCTGTGAAAAAGTAATTACCCATCTAAAACTGATCGTTAAAGCCAGAGTTCATTTAATTCAGCTTCGCTGGAGGGCTTGGACATGTTTAAGGTCAGATACTGGATTTAAGTCCTGGCTCTAAATATGCCGGGCTTTAATTTGGTTTGTTTATTTAAGCATTCAGGGATGAAACTGCTGATGAACGTTGGATCATTGTGCTGCTGTGAGTTTAAACTGAATATCAACAAGCCGTCGTGGTCCTTAAAGAGCACACCGCCCCCAGATCATCACACTCCCACTACCATGTTTTATTATTGGTAATATATATAATATAATATATATATATATATATATATATATATATATATATATATATATATATATATATATATATATATATAATATATATAATATATATAATAATTACCTTTTAAATAATGGATCCAGCCAGCAGCAGAATATTTTCCCAGAAGTCTTTGGGATCAGTTTCTGTGAAAGATGAGCTATCTTTATGTCCAACAGTGCTTTAAAGGTCATTATTGCCCAGACTATCCTTACATCATAAACACCAATCCTCATTATTTCTTATTCTCCTCTGAAGGTAATGTTGAATTTGAAAGGAAAACAATAAAAGGTAATTCAACAAGGGAGGCAGATAGATTCTTACATAGCGCCTGGTTGGTTTGGGTTTTATTCCTTTAAATATTTGGCCTTCTCATTACTAAACATCCTTTTGTATTTCCTTACTTCCTCCTGGCCTTATATTTACATTACACTCACAAAAATATTTCACCCAAATTTTATGATCCATTATATTACATAACAAATTCCCATTTCCTTTTTTACTTAATTTTAACACAAAACTATTAAATTTACCTTACATGAGCCATGCTGCTTTGTGCAATAAATCTTATTTATGTGAAATACATAATTATCTGTTTCATGAAACTTGGTATAATTAAACAATGCTTACTCAAAATGTATATTTATTTGATTTCTTTTTGATTTATTTGCTTGTATTGCATAATAATTGGGTTATCTTTATGTTATGCGATGAGAAACTCTTCGATGGTGTCTCATTTCTCACTTCTCATGCCCTGTTTTGTGTCCTCTGGTTTCTTCAGATGTCTGCAACAGCACCGACCTGCCAGAGTTTGAGATCATCAGTCTTCTGGAGGAGCAGCTGCCGGTTTACCGTCTGCGGGCCGACACCGTCTACGGCTACGACAACGATGACTGGCTCCACACTCCTCTGGTGGCCCCAGACGCCAGGCTCGACCTGACCACCGAGCAGATCGAAGAGACGCTCAAATACTTCTGTAAGTCCCACTGGTGCACAGCCGAGCGCAGGGCAGCGTGTACCGAGGTCACGTAGAAATCTGCGAATGCTCAAATGAGGCACTGTCAGCTACACAAAGATTTTATAAATCCTGAACATAAAGTGTCTTTTGAAATCTGACATTTGTGGGGAATTATGATCTTAAATTCATGGGCGGTTCTAGACAGGGGTAAACCACTCATCTCTATTTAATCACTGGATCGCTGATAGACCAAAAAATCATCAGCCGCCATCTTGGCGCGCTCCACTTTCAGAGTTATGCGCCATAAAAATGCCTGTAATGTAATATAATTACCATTACAATGTTATCAATACATGTATATTACATGTATATACATAATTAATTTAGTACTTTTGGTACATCTGACTACAGTATTATTCTCCTCATTAAATGCACTAATTTTGTTGTGATGGATTTGTATAACATGTTATATTAAATGATTTATAGGTTTCTTGGACTTCATAATGACTATGCAATGTGATGTGCCTTTTTTATGACAGTAATCTATTGATGCTATGAAACAGCAAGTGTGTGTCCAAGTGATGAATTGATCTTTATTTCAAAAGTCTTAAGCCCCCCCTGAACATGAGAAAATCATCGCTGTTCGATGATCGACCTGTCTAACTAGGGAGTACCAATATGGCGGCTGGTGACTTCACAGTAAGGTGTAATACCAAAGGGCTATCAGCAATCCAGTGGATAAATAGAGATCAGTGGGGCAGACACACAAACACACTGCTTAAATTACCTAACATGACTGTTCGTCTTGTAAAGCTGATTTCTATATAACATCCTTTCAGATCTTTACTTTTTACCATGCAATCAAGCTCGCCCTTCTGACTCGTAACAGTAAATAGCTTGTCCTTGCAGAGCTTTAATGAAAGTTGCGACACATAAGCTGCACAGATGTTTTAACAATAAAAGAAGTTACATTGGTTTACAGAGAAGCATCATTTGCAGAAGCTCTTTGATGTAAAATAATGCTTGCTAATGAAATAAATTGTTTAATTATCCTACTAAACAACCCCACATGTCTTTGTTTCAGTGAAATAAATATTTTTCTTTCTTATTAGCAGCCAAAGCCTTCCTCATTATAACAGATAGTAGCAAACTCCATCCACAAGGTGTTGCTATATCTTCTCTCCTACCTCCAGTCATGGTGCGTCCTGTTATGAGCCAGTTTGGGGTTGTTGATCAATTAACTGAGCCTCTTCTTCATCGTTTAAAGTTGTTCGATCTGTAAGGTGGTGAATGAATGAAAAGGAATCTATTTCAGACAATTTTTGACAAACGAAAATAAATAAATAAACTTCAAAAAATATTTCAAACAACCAAATACACATAAAAATAGAATGGTTAACATCAAACCAAACTCCAATTTCCAAACAAACCAAATTCACCTGAACATAAATAGAAACCAAACCGTCCACCAAATAAACCTGTCCATCAATTAATAGAAATTGTGTAAAAAGGGTTTGGAAGAAGTAAAACTTATTTTTCATACCCCCTACCCCTCTGAATGCACTTAACCCTTTATAGGGCATTCAGTGAAAGACTTTAAACATCTAAATTTCAAGTAAACAGTACACTGCAAAAAAACCCTGAAACCTAAGTAAGTCAGTTTTTCTTACAATAAGTGCATTTTTTCTTGAACTAAGCAGGTAAGTGAGGTACTTTGCAAATGGAATAAGAAAATTTACATCTAAAATAAAGAAAAAAAATGCAGTCTCCTATTTAAAGTGCATAATATCAAATAATCTGATTTTAAAGATAAAAATGCGCCTTCAACTGGGAGATTTTCTTATTTACCTACTCAAATTAAGGGTAAATACACTTGTTTTAAGAAATTTTCACAAATTTCTGGATAATTTTTGTAGTGTGTTATTGGAACAAAACCTTATTACCTTTGTAACGTTAAAAAAATATGTATATTTTGATGGCATAAATGAACGTCAATGTAATAACAAGAAACGCCAACTTGCCCGTATATATTATGAAAAATAACAAAAGTGCTTCTATAAGAAATTCATGAAAAACACTGAGAGTAAAAGAAATGGAACTCCATTTGTAAGGGGGATGCAAGTGATCAAAAATGGTAACTTGCCCTATAAAGGGTTAAATTAACTTAAAGTGAAGTTAAACTGGAGTTTGAAAAGATTAGAAAAACATCTCAGCAAGTTTATCTTGACATTTTGATCTACTGCTTTAGTTATGTAAAAATAAAACTTTTCAGGTTTTACAATTATTTTCCAACTAGAAAAAGAAATGTGGCCTGCCTGGTGTCTTTATTAAACACTGGACAAACTGCTGCATACAGCTGTGCGCCGCCTCATATGTGTTCAGCATTTTGTGTGTTGACCAACCGAAATTTGTAAAATTAATATGTATAATTCAAATATGATTCTATAAAATGTCTGTTAAATGCATTTATTTGCATTGTGCAAAACTGAGTCCAATGATAACTTAAAATCAGAAAAACAATAATATTATTTATTACAGTGATAAAAGACTAATTGAGATAAAAGCTTCCAAGACTTTACTGCAAAATTACTTTTCAGTATCAAACCAGATTTGAGATGCAGGCTGACAAAATAACGACAGTTGGCAATAAACAAATATCTTTGATTATATGCAGCTAAGAATCTATACAGTATTTAGCTAAATTTAAAGCATTATAATAAATAAAATCTAGTGATTGTTCAAAAACAATCTGGATCTGTGCAGCAGATCGACTCTCCAATAATTAGATGATAAAAAGTAATGCTTGTTCAAAAATATGCTTTGATCAAGTATCTGGGTTTTGTATGAGCAAAGCGGCATAAATAATTAGTTAATCAATCCTTGTAATGAACGTCAATGAGGATAGTTATTCTTATCTATATCCCAACACAAATAAAAAGGGGTATTTTTTCTTTTACTTAGCTATTATCCACTTTTTAGTGGTCTATTGCATAAAAATCCCAAATCAGGACAGTAGCATGTCTGAAGAAGTTCCAGCAGTGTGAATACTTCCTACCAGGGAGTGTAGGAAAGCTGTGGGAGACCTACGCTGCAGCCCACCTCTGTTTAACCCCAGCGCACGGCAACGATTCCTGCCATCTCTCCACCTCCCTCACATTCGCTCTCATCCATGCGGGCGGAGGTTGATCGGGTTTCTGAGGCCAGAGTGGCTCCTAAGCTAAGAGAATCAGAGGGCTGGAAAGTGAACAGAATGAGATTTTAGAGCCTTTGGTTGGATTTAAAGTCACAGGAATGGAAGACTTGGAAAGCAAGAGTGGGATAGAGGGACGGGTTAGGGAGGAATGGGAAGTGAAGGGCTGCTACTGCAAGGAAGATAAGGAAGGTAAAGTGTGTTTCTGTAATTCTATTTGTATTTTGGGTCTTTAACCTGCAGGACGTTATGCAGGATGAGGTTTTTTTAACTTCTCTTTTTACTTATTTGACTTGGAGATCTACTGGAAGTTGTGGTTTTGATCTGTTGTGACCCCAGGTTATGTGACAGTGCATGTTTTATTCCAGGTCAGCTTAAACTACTAAAGAAGTAAAGTTAAAATATATAAGAAATATGTATATTAAAAAGATGTGCGCTGTTTTTATTACCAGCAGTATTACAGAGGCTTAGGATAATGCATTCAATAACTGTTCAGGATGTTATCGACCCTCAGCTCATAGGTCGATAGGATGAGACGCCCCGGGGCAGCAGAGCCAACACCGTGCACCATGGAAAACAGCTCCATCTTCTCTAGCTTTGAATCCCATCCATGTAACAGCTGACGGATGGAGCTGCAGCCCATACGTGACGCATCAGTGCGTTCGTTTATTACGTAAACAGGCTGCATATGGACTAGCTCTCACGTACCCGGGTGTTACTGTAGGTGGAGAGAGGAGATGTTCCTGAAGTTAGCCGATTATCTCCTTTCCCTTCTCCTTCTGTCTCTCCTGGTTGATCCACGCATGTTTGCAGCTGTTTTCACGCTGCTTTGTGTTTCCACAGTGCTATGCGCAGACAGAGTGGGCCAAATGACGAAGACCTACAATGACATTGACGCCGTCACACGTCTGCTGGAGGAGGTAAGACTGCGTGTGTTTGTTCTGCACTTTCAAAGTTATTTTGAAAGCAACCAGAGATTCATACCCACCATAAAAAACTTTCTTTTTTTCTGTTTGACATCTGATGAAATTTTCTCCATTTCCCTCAGTTTTAACATAATTGTTATCTAAATATGTTAAATGCAAAGGAAATTACCTTTTAAATAGCTGTATTCTTGACTCAAACATTTTCTCCACAAGCTTTCAACAATAGTTAGCTTTGTTCTTCCTCATTGATCCGGTTTAGAGTCCACCTAATTAACACATATCTGTTCAAATCAGCCCTTAAATTTGCTTTTTATTAGAGATTTGTGTTTTCCAATCTAATAATTTGACATATGGCCACCTATTTTCAGCTAAGCTTTAATCTATTAATCTATGGTTCCATATTTTTATAATAATATGTTCTTCTGATAGAGGGGCGTCTATTTTATTAAGTGCATCAGTCTGACGCTCTGCAGTGTGATGCTTCACACCCAAACGCGCTCGTCTGTGAATGTTTAAACAGAGAAATGCAGCTCTGGAAATTATTTCCAAGGATAAATTGGTGCTAATCCAAAACTATGGTATCATTTTCTTTTATTTTCCTATATTTCCATTATGTTTTTAAACATAACAATTAATTATATCGCAGGTTTCCAAAACTGTTTTAAAAGCACAAATATCATAGCTTATGTACAACTGCTGATTTGGTAAAAGTTAAAAATATATATCTATCTTAATACTCCAACAGTAAATAAATAGAAAAATTTTGACAACGTTATTGACGAATGAGATGGACCAATCCCGATACAGATTATTATGACATCTGTCTAACTGATCCACGCTAGGCACTGCTTTTCAGACCGATTCTTGACACTGATGTTGCTTTTTCTTCCTTCATTTCAATTGAAAAAAAAAGTTTAACAAAACTTGGTTTGAACAAAAAAAAATAAATTAACGAACAAATTAAACAAAACATAAAGGATGAATAGAAATTGAAGGCATGAAAATACATGCGCTTTACGTCATCGCTAAACATGGCTGCTGAATGCACGACAAACCAGAGACACATCCATCAAAAATAAAACGATTTATTTAGATTTTATTTATTCGTTTATTTGTCTTGGACAGTACACATCATTTCTGTAAATGTGTCAGTATTAGCTGGAGAAATGATCTTACATTAAGTGTATTTACCCTTTAATTTGAGTAGGTAAATGAGATAGCTTGCCAATTGGATGAGATTTTAAATGTAAATTCTCTCGTTGGCGAAATGTCTCACTTTCCTCTTCAATTCAAGAAAAAAATGCACTTACTTTAAGAAACAATGTCTTATGTAGATAAAAAATTTTTGCAGTGTATGTAGCTAGTTTTCAACTGTTATCCCTGAGCAAGTTGTATAATGCCAACAACAATTAAAGATTAAACATCCATCCGTCCATTTTCTTCCGCTTACACTTTCGGTGCCTTTGTCCGGCAATCTGCGGGCGAGAGGCGGGGTACACCCTGGACAGTTCACCAGTCTATCACAGCGCAACACAGAGACAAACAGAACAAACAACCATTCACACACACACTCACACCTAAGGAAAATTTAGGGAAGCCAATTAGCCTAACAGTCATGTTTTTGGACTATGGGAGGAAGCCAGAGAACCCACGCATGCACAGTGAGAACATGCAAACATGCACACTGCAAAAAATATAAATGTATTTTTTTTTCTTAAAATAAGTGATTTCTTTCTTGAATCGAGGAGGTGAGACACTTTGCCAATAGAACAAGACAATTTACTTAAAAAAAAAACAACTGTATTGTCTTATTTCAAGTGCATATTATCTAATTATCTTATTTTAAGAGTAAAAATACTAATACTAATACTAATAAATAATTTTATTCACCTGCTCAAATTACGGATAAAAACAATTAATTTAAGAAGTTTTTACTTATTTCTAGATAGTTTTTACAGTGCAGAAAGACCCCAGGAATCGAACCTGGAACCTTCTCACTGCAAGGCAGCAGCTCTTCCCACTCCACCACTCTGCAGCCCTAAATCAAACATAGAAAAAGAAAAAAATGTTGCATACTTCATACTTATAAAGGCAGGTCATACAGTTCAAACAGAGACATTAGCATAAATATGTACTGATATTTACAAAGTCATGCACCAGGAGATTGGTAAGGTCTAATGAGCACATTGTTGGTTTGATATTAACTAGTTTTTTAACTGAGTTCTGGGTTTGGTAAAGGTGGAGGATTCTCTGATAATGAGAGGGATGCTGTTTCAGATGTTACAGCCCCTGATTGAAAGAACAATCTGGCCAAAAGTTGTCCGTCTGAAGGGGACTTCAGTCTCCCCTAACTAAAGACCAGTGATGGGACTAACGGCGTTGAAACTAACGGCGTTACTAACGCCGTTACCTTGTTTTAGTAATGAGTAATCTAACTAATTACTTTGACTGTAACTATAACGCAGTTACCATTGCAGACACCCCGTTACTGCGCGTTACTCAGGTCGCACAATGAACCTTTTTTCATGATGGGACTCGTGCGCAGCTGCGTGAAGCTGACACCCCACCCACGTCAAAAAACTCTGCAAATAGACTGAATGGTTAGTGCAACGTTAGTGCAGATTTGTGCAGAAAAAAATATTGTTTGTGCTACTTTTGTTTAAGAGATATTAAAGATAATTTTTTAGGTCATCCAGAGGTGCGCGCCTTGTCATGAGAGAGGGGAGGATGAGATTCCGTCTGTCAGTTGAATAGGTGGGTGTTTCTGCTGGTGGGTGTTAACGTACAGCACACACAGAGAGATGGAGAGTGAGGATGACTCCAGCAGCAAAACAGCGTTTTCCACATGGAAATACCGGTGTTACGTCGCGCTGCGTTTCCCCATCACATACGGTTTCCTCTGCATCTCCACACAGCGCAGGCGGCAAGAGTCACCGCGCAAGCGACAGGAAACGCGCATGCTCGCTAAAGGCGCGCAACAGTCGCCCTGTGCTCGCGCCACAGGAGAACTATGGAGAGCGTGAACGATCAAATGAAAGGGAGAAATCTGGATGGATGGATGGATGGATGGATAGATGGATGGATGGATGGATGGATGGATGATGGATGGATGGATGGATGGATGGATGGATGGATGGATGGATGGATGGATGGATGGATGGATGGATGGATGGATGGATGGATGCTCTGCCTTCTCAACCTACTGTATTTTTTATTTTAAACATTATTTGATGGCCTTTGTGGCAGGGATGGAGATCCATATTTTATGTCACACACAGAGTATACATCTAGATAGATAGATGGATAGATAGATGTTGCAGTATCTATAACAACCCAAACACACAGGATTTCAGAATGAGACATCCCCAGTTATTAATTTCATATACTCACCAGATCTGAATGTCCTGTTAAAAACCTTCCCATGGCGTTCCCCCCTGATGTCATTTACGTTGAGTTGCAATAAATGCTAAACTCTCTGCAGGTTCTTGTCTTTGTCGTCCGCTCTATTCAGCTGGCTTTGGAAACACACGGCGAGAAGGTGGGGGCTGGGTGGTGAGGGTTACGGGGGCGAGAAACGCAAAAGTAACGCAATAGTTACTTTTACTAGTAACTAGTTACTTTTATTGTGGAGTAACTCAGTTAGTAACTCAGTTACTTTTTGGGAGAAGTAACAAGTAACTATAACTAATTACTTTTTCAAAGTAACGTGCCCAACACTGCTAAAGACTGAGTGGCTTTGCCAGTAGAGGATTTCAGTTTTACGAATTCCCTTAACTGTGGTGGTCCATTGAGTACTTTATAAACCATGCAAGTAAATTTAAGGTATTTCAAATTCTTAAAGTTGAGGAGAGTGTGAGTCTCAATAATGCGACAGCGGTGATACAAAACAGTTTTTTTATAAAAAATCTTAAAACCTTTGTTTGGCTTTATTCATTTAATAAATTATTTAGTCTGATCTAATGTAAATCAGTGAGATTGAAATAAATATGTATTTTTTTGTGTATTTCAGATTAAAGAATAAAAAAACTGCCTTGTTGTACTTAATGTTCCTGCTTTCCGTCTAACAGAAAGAGAGAGACCTGGAATTGGCTGCGAAGATCGGCCAGTCTCTGCTCAAGAAGAACCGAACTCTGACAGAACAGAACGACTACCTGGAGGAACAAGTGGGGCAAATCACAGAGGAGGTTGGACCGAACACTCGCCGGTTCTGATCACCTGTGATGGTGTTGGATCAAGTTGCTTTAGGAACATTTTTCTCCTCCAACAGGTGGCCCAGCTTCACCATGAGCTGAACCTGAAGGACGAGCTGCTGCAGTTTTACACCAACGCGGTTGAGGAGTGTGAGGATGAGTCCACCGCTTCCCCCACGTAAGCATCCACTGTAGTGGTACTTCAGAGATAACATACTTTCATAGATATATGCAGGAAAAATGATTAAAGAATTTTTGCATTTGTACTTTCTTTTTAATTAAAGACTTAATCTGACTGAAGAAAGATGAGTAGGAAGAGAAAGATAAAAAGGGGCGAGATAGAGGGATATCTATGGATTCATGTTTGTTTGATATTTCCTCCAAAGGGTTAAGAAGAGCAAAGCAGAATCAGCTTCCGGAGTCTTTCTTAGCGACACTCTTCAGATGAAACTCAAAGAGCTGGAAGAGGAAAACCTGTCGCTCCGCTCAGAGGTGCAGCATAAAGCCCGCTAATAACAGAACGGACATGTCAGATAAGCATCTCAACGCTGTATTCTGTGCAGGCCAGCCATCTGAAATCAGAGACGGAAACCTATGAGGAAAAGGAGCAGCAGCTTGTCAGTGACTGCGTTAAAGAACTCCGTAAGTTTCCTTCCTCTAGTCTAGTGTTTTATTTCCAGGTCTCTTTGCTCTGCAGCACCCTGATCGTCTCTGTCTTCCGATAAACTCCCAGGGCTATCCAGTCTGCAGATCTCTGCCATTGCTGAGGAGCTGGCAAGGAAAACCGAGGATGCTTCCCGTCAGCAGGAGGAGATCACACACCTCCTCTCTCAGATCGTAGATCTACAGAAGAAGGCTAAATCTGTGAGTGCACCTCTTCTGATCTAAATATTGGAATCCTGTCTTGTTAAGCTTGACCTTCATGTGTGTGTGCAGCTGGCAGTGGAAAATGAGGAGCTCTCTCAGCACCTAATAGCAGCAAAGGATGCCCAGAGGCAGCTTACAGCAGAGGTAACTTTCAGTGTTTCTTTCGCTAATCATACTTTTGTAACCGGAGAGAAATCTAAATCTGAGAACCATAACTCAACAGCTGCAGGAGCTGGAGGAGAAATACTCTGAGTGCATCGAGATGCTGCATGAAGCTCAGGAGGAGCTGAAGAACCTGAGGAACAGGAACTACCCAGCAGGAACGCCCCGACGCTATCACCCGCTGGGGCTCTATCCAATGGTGAGGAGGTGAAGGCCTGTGGATGAGCGGGTGTCTCCAGGTTCAATCTGTTTCTTATGGTGTCGTCATCTTTTCAGGATTCTCTGGCAGCAGAGATCGAAGGAACGATGAGGAAGGAGTTGAGTTTGGACGATCCAGAGTGCGAGGAACAGAAGTACGTATGACTTTAGCACCTCCCACCATTTATGCCAGAGCTTCAGAGAACAGACGGGTACTCTGGTGTTTGCAGGATCCACCGGAGGCGAGTGTTTGAGACGGTGAAGAGCGTAAACCAAACGGTCCGTCAGCGCTCGCTGACTCCCACCAACTCCAACATCCCAGGATCCAACCAGTCGCTGTCCACGCGGACGTCACCCCAGTCCAGCGGGCTCTCCACCCCTCGCTCCAACATGTTTGGTGGAGACATTGGTCTTGCCTTTGACAACCGGACTCAGAGCATCCTCATGGAGACGGCATCCAATCAGGACAGGTGGGTGGGAGCTGGTTTAAGAAGGAAGCGCAGGCAGAACTGGAGGTTGTGCTTCATGTGTCTTTGTTTCTGTCAGCAGCTTGGAATGCAGAGAGAAGAAGGCAAGCGGGGCTGAGGACCTGCGGCTGGCCCTGCGCCGCCTGTCTCTGCGCCGCCAAAACAACCTGAGCGAGAGGCGCTTCTTTGAAGAGGAGAGAGAGCGCCGGCGGGCTGGGGTGCATGGAGCCCTCGACCACGAGAACCTGCTGACACCCTCGGACAGCATCATGTCGCTGGGAAACCTCCACCTGTGGGCCTCCCGGGGGCCTTACCTCCCAGACAAGCTCCAGATCGTCAAGCCGCTTGAAGGTGAGGAGGGAAGAGAGCGCGGAGTCAGCTGCAAAACGGCCAGGAGCTGGGAAGGCGACCGCCACCGGGGGGTTTTCACCAAGAAAGGGAGCAAGTGGGGATGGGGGGCAGATGGGGAGAAGAGATGCGAGGGCCGGCATGGCCGAATGCTAGAGGGGGAGAGGGTGTGGGGGTGGGCAAGGAGGACTATAGCAGGGGTAGAGAGAGAGAGAGGAAGAAGATGGGCGAGGGATCGAGCCGGCGGGAGGAAGAGGAGGAGTGCAAAGGAGAAGAAGGAGAGTCCGATGCCGCTGACGCTCTTCAACTCCTTCTGGTCTCTAATGCATCACCACAAATATGGCAGCTACTACAAAGAGCCGCAGCCCAGAGGGTGGCTGTAGACACAATAGGGGCGGCATAGCTCAGATTTCATTCTTCTTCTGCTGTTTTTAATCAACAGCTGTTGTTTATTGCTTACAGCAACACTTTATTATTGACCTTTTAATTCAGCATCATTCAACCTTAGAGCTGCCTGATTTAGATCTTTGCTGCCCTCTGCTGGAGAAAAAATGTGGCAACAACTTTAGACCGAGTTTATTCTGATATTATTTAAACACCACTGCATGTTTCATGGAGTCACATCCCAGCTGCTCCACATTGCCATTATTATTGGTTGGATAGAGGTTTGTATTTACACATTATGGGCCTGAGCAGCATGTTTAAGTCTTTCTTTTCTGCAAGACACAGATTTAATGAATCTTAAAAACACATTTTGAGTCAAAGTTGTACATAAATAGTATATAAGTACATAGAAGCATAGCTCAGTAATTCTAAATTGTAAGAATTGCTTAAATAATTAGCAACAATCTGGCAAAGGTGAGATTTGTTTCCTTAATTAGAGCAAACCAAATATATGTATAATTAAATACATGAGCACCTTTAACTCTCCAATAACCTTCGTCTGGTTTTCTTGTATTTCCGTGTTCGCTCTGTCATTTTTCATCTGTTCTTGCTTGTGTTTTTGTTAAATAAACCTATTGTCTGAGTCTACTTTCCGCTTCCGTTTCATTTCATTTCATTTTTTTTAATCATTTATCTGCTTCTCATTCTGTTCATTTTTCATCTTTCTAATGCTGAATGTTGCCCTATTTGCTTTCTCTTCACGCCTTGCTGTTATCATCATAACAAGCATTGTTTATATGATCCTATCATTAAATACATAAGTATTTTGGGTTGTTTTTGATGATTTTATGGGAGACTAGAGAACATCAAATCAGCCAGCAAGATCTAATAACCTTGTTTTCTATAAATCTTTGTGCTCTAGTTCTGTTTTAAACACCAGGTCTTAAATATCTAATAAATCCTGCACACGATAAATCTCACTGCAGCACCAAAAAGTTACAGTAGAAGACTTTTATGATCGATTCCTACTCAATCAAAACACGTTTGCTTGATCTAATTGAGGCATCTGCAACTTCTTCACTCTAAAGAGCCATTCTTTACATTCAGTTGACCTAAACTAACCTTGTTTAGAATACAATTTGTTTAAAAATGAAAACTTTTACAGGAAATTTAACATCATATTTAAGAGCTATCATTTTATTGTAACACTAATGTTTAAACATAAAGGAAAAGCAAACTTCCACAAAAAAACACTTTGTTTTCTAACCTTATGACAGGAAAAATATCAAAAAATATGTATCATTGTTATTTTTACTTTCTTTTTTCCTGAAAATTCAATTTAATTGTGCCATTAGAGAAAAAAGATACTTAATTTGCTATATCTACTTAATATATAAAATGTTTTAGCAAAAGCTATCTGGAGCCATTGTGAAAAGTCCAAAGAGCTTCATACAGTTCTGGAACAGCAGACCCCTGATCTAATTAAGTGTCCAATGGTATTTATCCAGACTTTCTTTAAGTCTTGCGTCATCCGTGTCTGTCCACCAGGCTCGGCCATCTTGCACCAGTGGCAGCAGCTAGCGCAGCCTCACCTGGGTGTGATCCTGGACGCCAGGCCGGGGGTCGTGCCAAAGGGCTACCGGCCCCTGGAACTGGAGCTGGAACAGGTATGTGTGTGAATGAGTGGTAGGAAAATATTTTTCCACCTGAGTTTAGATCTTCATTCAGATTCACCATGATTCCCTTCACTGCTTGTCTCCTTAATGTTTTGCTTGCTAGCCTGTCGCTCTAGGGAAATGTGGTAGTCAGTTTGTAGGTGTGCCAGTATTTCGGTTTTTAGATGATAGACTGAACATCAGGACATTTAAATCTTTAATTTCCTCTTATCAATTTGGTCCTCATGATACCAAACATTGGGTGACTAATGAGTATTAAAAGGTTAAAGTGGCATTAAAGTTTCATTTTAAATCACTGTATTTAATTGTCACAATGTTTAAAAAAGTAGAAAATGAAATTATTTGTTGAAAAACCCAACTGTTTTACGAATTCTTGTTTGGACTCTCCTGTCACCTCAGGTGTACCCTTGGGGCGGTATTGAGGAGGAAGATCCAGGAGAGCAATACTTCCAGAATCTGCCCACCTCCCCATCCACTGCTTCACCGGCTGTGCCCCTCGTCTCCTCAACAGGGGAAGCCAACATCAGACAGCCTCCAGGAAGCATGGGCCCTCCCTCTCCACCTTCTCCCTCCCCGTCACCACATCTTAGCAACACGGATGCACTGGGTGAGGATAAACAATACAATGATGGGAAGGATGAGAATTAGATGAACGTTGGCTTAGCCGATGTAAATTACTCTTCTTTTTTCCTTAGTTGATGCAGCCAATCTGACAACAGCCAACTGGTTTTAACAGTAAAATTCCCACAGTTTAGGACTAAGGTTAGGATAAATGAAAAGTCATATAGTGTCCAGCTCTTTCAGCCAGGGGCGGATGTAGGAAATTTGGGGCCCTAGGCAAAGACAGGCATGGGGCCCTCTGAATTAAGAAGACAACACATAAAGCAAACCCATTATACAGATACAGAAGTTTTAATAGAATAGACATACATAATTTGTTCTATGTTTGTCCCTCTCTTCTTGTCCCTTTTCTTGTTGATTTCCTCTCCATGTTTTGTGCTCAGCTGACTTTTCATTCTGTCTCAAAAGGAATGACATTTTTTTTCCCCAAGCACTAAGCTTACAACTGATTGCTGCTTCCTGTGTTTCCAAAAAGGCGACGGCAAAAGAGAATAAAACAGTCCTTCTTTTCACTGTAGACAAGCCTTGATCTGCTTATCTGCTCTCCAGTTTTCATTTGGATGAAATAATAATAGCTGCATGAATCATGACAGCAGACAAGATAGAGGAAAGCAGGAGGCAGGGTTACCAATCTACTTGCTCTAGAGTGCAGAGTTCTGTGCTTTTTTGTATGTTGTCGCCAAAGTCTCCAGCAGCAGAAAAAATTTCCTAGATTTGGCGCTAGGCGCTTTTTGAAATAAAAGCACTAGAGGGGTCTGAAAAATCTCTAAGTATAGTGACAAAACTGCTAAGTTGGCAACAACGCTCTTCTCACCGTTTGTTTTCAAATGTTTTGCTGCTGTCTGTTTGGACCTTTCTGAACTTGTGCAGCAAATGGACTGATTCAATGTGGTGGACACTGAAGGGGGGGAAAAGAAACACTTCATGTTATAAGCGTTCTGATGGCATTTTAGCTAAATTAATGTGCACAAATAAGAAATAGTTGTATTAACTATACATATAAATAGAATTTTATGGGGCCCCAGGAACTTGGGGCCCTAGGCAACTGCCTAGTATTGCCTAATGGTAAATCCCCCCTGCTTTCAGCACAGCATAAACAGAGAAGGCAAAACCAATATGGCAGAGAAAGCTTATTTGAGTTTCACCTTCTATGTTGATTGCTCTTAAAATTTGCTCCGGCTCTTACTCTAAATGTCACAGATACAAAAGTGGTAAAGAAAATTGACAAGTAACAACTCCAACCCCTTTATCAGTTTTATCTGTGGTGTTGGATGCAGGGTTTGCCCTGCAACCAGAGGGTTGTCGGTTAAAGCCTCGGCTCCGCCTTTCAGATTTTTTTTGTCCTTGGCCAAGAAACTTCGACAGAGCCTCGCTTCTTATTGTGACCCCAAGGAAAATTGTAGCTACAATGTAGTTTGCTACATTGTGTGAATGGTTGAATGACAGAATGACTGAATGTAGTGTAAATCGCTTTGGTAAAGCCTACTGACTTGAAAAAGCAGTATATAAGTACAGGCCATTAACCATTTAGGGATATGCTAAACAGGTATTTTGACTATAACAGATGTATATTTAATGATTTACCACCATAAGTCCAAGCATTAAGAATGTAAAGGTTGCCATATCTTCATTAGTGCAAACAGAGCCTTTGCACAGTGTAGCATGGGATTAAATGTCAATGAGCTATCGGTAATGTGGTTAGATATTTGTTTTCCATTAACATTAATTTCCTTAGAATGCATGGACTCTCTAACATTCTCCAATATTTTTTAAATAGGTCCAAATAAGCTTTCTGGCTTAAACTGGTGATAAACAATGTTTGCTGACAGATATGAGACGCAAGAGCTACTTCTATATAAGCTAGGCATCTGTGTGTGCTGTTAAATGCAAGGTATAAGTGTAAGAATGCGATGATATAATGAAAAGAAACTGAAAGTAGTGCAGGAGGTTTAGAAAGATATTAATTACATTTAATGCGATGAAAATGAAAGATATTCCCATGTTTTGTTTTTGCTATCATGTGCATTGCACTCCAGTCTGTATGTGAATATTAAGGACGATAATCCTCTTGGCTAAGTTTAATAGTTTCACCTGAAAAAGGTTTAGCAATCAGTGAAGTGAACAAAAAGAAAAACAGTTTATATCTTTATTCTGGAGTCTAAAACTGAGCTTGTTGTCTGTGTTTGTGGGACTTTCAGCTGCATACTATCCAGGAAAATGCATGGCTCACACCAGCTCTACTTACACCTTTACAACATGCCGCATCCTCCATCCAACAGACGAGCAGACACGGGTCACACCCAGGTAAGATCCTCCACTGATGTTACAGTCCATATAAGTCATGCCCAAATTATTTATTTACACTACTACCACAATGAGACCAATTTTCATTTCATCTAGAATTTTTTTTTTCTAAAATACAATAACAACACATTAGCCGTTTTGGTTTACTTTTTTTTTTTTATGAGAAATCCAAGACGTCACCTGGTCTGGGCATTCCCGGGTCTAGACACATATTATTCTCATCAAGATCTTTTTCTCTCTCTGGAATTAAGAAATTAACTGAGCCGCCCTGAGATATTAAATAATGTTAAGTTTAGTCATTTGGTGAAATGACCAGATCAAAGAGGAGTTTCTGAGGAAGTGTCACTCATTGGCACTGATCCTATTTAGAGTTGTGAGAAGAAAGTTCACATATTTAAGGAAGCAGGAAGATCTACAGTAATAAATAATAATCTGCAGCAGATTTAGTCTAACTTTAGGATCTTCCACCTCATTAGAGTTTGTTTAAAACTTTATTTCATTTCAACCAAAGAAATCCTTATATCCAAATTAATATTTCATTATCTTACTATCTATTTGTATTTTAAGACCCTGATGAAAAGGTACATAGACCTTTTTGAAATATTTCTATTTTGTAATTCCTCTTTTTCTACCCGTCAAATTATGATGTTTTTTATATTGTCATTTAAAAGATTAACAATATATATATATAGTTTTTTGAAGCACTAGTGGCTTGATTTTTGGACAGTAGGCTTACAGGAAAGGGGGAGATACACTCAGCAAAGGACCACAGACCGGATTCAAACCCGGGTCACATGTACATGGGTAATGCGCGCTAACAACTGTACCACAAGCACGTCCCAATTCACTATATCTTTAGGTCAACTTTACCACTGTCAAAAACTGTCATTATAATAAAGTTTTTGATATGGTGAAAAAATTGAAGTGAGTGTACTGACAATGATTTAACATGAAACCTTTTTGTTAATCAACAGTTATTAATTCTATATGTTTCTTTATAGAAGGCCTCTGTAAATGTTGCCTCAGTATAGATAAAAGGAGTAAAAAAAACTATATTATTAATTTCTGAATATTTATTTCATCAGACATTTTTTTCTAGAAAGTAAATATGAAGAAACTACAGGATTCAAATCAAACCTAAAAGTTTAATTTAGCTCTTATATATAGGTTTTATTGGTCGATATTTTTATTTTATTTTTTATAGAACCAGCAGAGATTTAAAATAGCTTTCACCTCTGCTCTTTGTTTTATTTAAGAGTTTTCCAGAGCTTTTTTTTATAATGTGTTGATCTGATATTTACAAATGTTGTCTCTAGATGTTTATATACAGCGGACTTTACATATTGCAGTATTTGGCTTCAAACAAAGTACCAGAATACTCAAGGATGCTTCAATAAAATGGCTTTTTTCCCAGTTCAATTCCCAGAGATCCCACGGACTGTGGACTCAGCCTCCAATGTTCTCAGGTCCAGGAAACGCACCTGGAAAAGTCCCAATTCATTTATTCCCTCCTCAATAATGAGTTAAAAGATCTTTGTTTGCATTTCTCCTTTATTATGTCAAGCAGCTTCTTTAGTGATGAGCTTCAAGTTCCCCATCACTCTAATATTTAGCTTCCTCTGTAGATTTCTATCAGATGAAGATCATAAACCTGGCTGGGCCAGAGCTTAACATTGCCTCCAACCAGCAGAAAAAGTGTTTAATACAAGCCTTTGCACCTAAATTGCCAGATCATATGAATAATTTGGGCTCGACTGAATAGGATTATCTTTCCTTTTGTGCCTCTGCTAAATTTGATTTAAATAAAGCATGATAAATTTGTGCTTTTCTGCTAATCTGTTCATAATGTCCTTCTGTGATCAGTCTGATTATCCAGAAAATGCTCCCTGTCTCATTTAAACGATTTATCCTCCTAATGAATTCGTTAAATCAATATGTTTTATAGCATTTAAACACATTCTGAGGCCTCATGTATTTATGCTGATTTGTTTTATGCCCATAATAGGGATTCAATCTTTGGACTCTTCAGCTGCAGTGTGGGCTCTAAAATGGCACTTAAATAGTGGCTCTTTAAAGTGTTTTTAATTTATCTTAATCTTTATTGCTCTTGTTTTTACTCCTGCCAGTCTAAACCCTGTTCCTGCGTCCTCCTCCTGTGTGATGACCAGCAGTCAGTGGGGTACGCCTGCTGCTACTCCCTGCACGCCTCGCAGGCTCAGTCTCAGACCCTCGGAATCATCGACCAACCTCAGGCAAGGCAGCACATGATCCTGTCTTAAAACACCTGTACAGTGGAGCGAAAACGTATTTATCAAGCCTCTGATCATGAAGGTTCTAAACGTCTGTGATTTTTATAGGTTCACTTCAGCTATGAGAGACAAAAACGGAAAAGAAGAAAATCATGGTGGAAAATAAGCACCTGGTCAAAAACAATAGTTGAACTCGTTACTCTGCATCTTAAAATCAGAGAGGTCAAACATTTCCAGATCTCCTCCAGAGCATTGATGTTTTGGAGCTGTTGTTAGGCAACAGGAACTTTCAAACCTCTCCACAAATGTTGTGTTTTATATGCTTTTTATGGAGCCACTCCTTCATTCTGTGTCTTTGGGATCATTGTGATCATTGTACAGCCGTGTTTCATCTTTAATGTTCTTGCTGATGGAAAAGAGGTTTTAATTAAAGGTACAGTGGAGGATGTTCTTTCTCCAGGTCGATCATCAAAATAAGTGCGCCTCCTAATTGTCAATCATTCTGGTGATATGTTTACATAGGGCCGTCCTATGTGCTCGTCCCTATTTTCACTTACCGGTGGTGAGTCTGACATAGTGGAAAAATTGCAAATCTTCTTTTGGTAAGTGAGCTTGTATGAGCGATGCAAACAAGCGTGCACGAGGAGAAATGGACTCCTGCATGCTCTTACATGTGTTTAATAGGTGTTCCCTCTTAGGAGCGGGTACAGGGTTGTGCGTTTGCATGTTTTTTTTTTTAAGTTGAGAGGGTGGGTCTTTCCAAAAATCCTCCGCTGTACCTTTAAAATCAGGAAATCTCCGGCTTTACAGGACCTGAGTCCCTCTGAGCGTAGTGCGTGACTGATGGTAGCCTTCGTTCCTTTGCTCCCAGCTCTCTGCAGGTCTTGTATTTTCTTCAGGTTGCTCCCACAGTTGATTTATTCACACCAACCTGCTTCCTGTTATAGAGTCAGTCTTTCCAATGGGTCCAGGTGTATAGTGTTCTTCCTGGTGTCCTTTGATAGCTCTTTGGCCATGAGTGAGTTCGGAGTCTGACTGTTGAGGTTGTGGAAAGGTGTATTTAACACAGACGTCTTCTTTAAAGGACAGAAGAGCTTCTTAAAAAAATGTTTCATACCTGTAATGGCCAGGTGTCTCGCTTGTTTGTAGGTGACCACCTTACTTTCCACCATAATTTAGAAATAAATTCTTTAAAAATCCCACAATGTGATCTGATATTTTTCTCATTTTGTCTTTCATAGCGGAAGTGTACCTACGCTAAAAATTACTGACGTCTTTCGTCTTTCTTACTAGAAGAGCTAGCGCAGTCAGTGGCTGATTAAACACTGAAAATGTTATATTAAAAGAGAGTTAGACAATTTATAGCAAAATCTAGAAGATGTGGTGTGTGTTTGGTTTTCCGACTGCGCTACTCTGATACCCATCAATAAAATCCCGTCCAACCAATGGCTAAAGAAATGACAATAATCTTAGTTTAAATTTATCTGTAGAGCGTTCTCAGAGAATATCTTTTAAAGAAAACCTAGTGATACACAATATTATCAGCATGTTATCGCTACCGGCCAAGATTAGCATTAAAAATAAATATTGGACATCAGCTGTTCCACTAATATAATTCAATTATGTGTGATGGTAATAATTCAGTGTTAAGAGGGATGGATTTTTTTTTAGCATAGTCGATTAAGCTCTTTAATAAATGTCGGTAATAGGAAGGACACCTGTAAAGATTTCTGTCATTGTTTGGTTCTTGTCTGTGTAGAGATGGAACACGCACCACCAGCACTTCCCTGGGGTTAGTGCGCCTCCTCCAGGAGAGAGGGATCTCTGCAGCCATGTATCACCAGAGCCAGGGGCCTGAGTACAGTCAAGGTTCTGGAGGAGTTCTGTTCAGCACTTCCATTGCACCAAATAGAGAATCCAATGCAGAACCGCTGCGCCCCATGACTCCTCCAAATTCCCCGACAAGGCCAGGAGCCTCAGCTGCTATAACCTCTGAGGGCTTTGACTTCAAGAGCCCGTCTTATGATAACTTTCTAGCCTCCAAACCGGCCCGCTCCATCCTGAAGGAAGTAACGGGAACAAGAGGCAGGCAAAGAGCGAGGGACTGCGAATGCCAGACGGACGTCAGCGTGGCTGTCCACAACCTCAACCTGCTGGACAAGGTGAAGCGGCTGGGGGTGGCTGGAGGCAGGGCAGTGAGCCCAAGCCCCCTCCTGGGATCTCTTGGAGGTCTGCGCAGGTCTGGTTCTCCGTTTGGGCCGGATGGAATAAGAAGAAACCGAAGTTATCCGGCCATGGTCGGAGCCAGTATGGCCATGAAAGCACCGGGACCCCAGGAGTAGTCTGGACCGCTGCTGGTTGTGAGAGGAACAGGACTGACTGCAGAGCGGTCACAAGCAACACACCGACACCGTCAGTTTAAAAATCCCCTCTGCAGTTCTACTTGAATCATATCTGCACTGTAATACTTATTAAAAAGTCGACTGATGCCTAAAATAACTAAAATAACTAAAATAGGATTAATGCATATAGTCTTTCAGCCATGAAAATATGAGCAGTTATACTTTATGTCACTGAACATCAAGAAACTCTCTTAGAGGTTTTAAGGAGCTAAACAAACCTCTTTTCAAAAGGTTTTGAATGTTTTCTCAGAATCATCAGGAACTTTTCATTATTTATTTTTTTTCACAGTATTTAAATTGAAGGGAAACGTCAGATTTTTGATGTGGGGGTTCTGGTCAGAGGTTATGACCAGTAAATGTCATGCTTTAGAAACAAATAATTTGTTTGTAATTTCTCCTGTATTAAATATACAAAATAAAAGGAAATTGGATTTTTTTTTCAAAATCTCAAGCAGAACCTACTTTATAAGTTAAGAGATCAAACGGCTTTTTGGAGCAGAACCACGATTCACAGCACTTGCTGCTTAAGCAAAGAATGGATTAATTTAGTAAGCCTTTAACTCAGGCATCCCCAAACTCGGTCCTCGAGGCCCCCTGTCCTGCAGGTTTTAGAGGTTTCCTTGTTCCAGCACAGCTGATTTTAATTGAAAGCTGATTAACAGGCTCCAGCTCTACTGCAATCATTAAAATCAGCTGTGCTAAAGCAGGGAAACCTCTAAAACCTGCAGGACAGCGGCCCTCGAGGACCGAGTTTGGGGATGCCTGCTTTAACTCATCAGTAAGCAATGTTGACTTCCAGGCTGCAGAAGGAAATCCACTTGGATTCTAAAGTCTCGACTATCAATGCTTCAGGATTTACCTCAGATAGGCAACAAAGCATCAGGATGAAGGTCTTGGTCTACCTAGACCAGGCATCCCCAAACTCGGTCCTCGAGGGCCGCTGTCCTGCAGGTTTTAGAGGTTTCCCTGCTTTAGCACAGCTGATTATCATGATTGCAGTAGAGCTGGAGCCTGTTAATCAGCTTTCAATTAAAATCAGCTGTGCTGGAACAAGGAAACCTCTAAAACCTGCAGGACAGCGGCCCTCGAGGACCGAGTTTGGGGATGCCTGACCTAGACCTTTAGCTGGGATTTTGCAAAGGAAATAATCAATAGCAAAGTAGTTTCTTATACATGCAATCTCGTGTGGATTTGTATGTCAAACTGTAAATGATTCATGCTATTGCCCAGGGTTTAAACATAAGCAGGATTTATGTTTCATACATCATCTCATGAGAAACACCTAGAACGTAGCATCCCTGGAGCAAGAGAGGCTGCTTTGAGGATATGCCGAGTCATTCTTAAAAATTTCTTAGCTCTTTTAATAGATTATATAAATTATAGATAAAGCACTGATGGCTTGTAAGTGCAAGATCAAGAGCAATATAGGGATTCCTGGCATTTTAAAGCACCTTAAGAATAAAACTTTGTTGGATATTAGCGGAATATAAGATGTTTTGTGCTTTTTACAGTGGCATGAAAGTGTTTTCTACAATAAAAATGTATTTTGTTGCCACACTTAAATGTTTCTTATTATCAAAAAATGGCTAATATCAGAAAAAGCCAACTTGGTAAAATGGTCAATTGACTTTTCAAGTAATTTTATGTATGCAGGAAAAAAAGCTTACAAACTAACATGATCCTATATCAAGGAGTAATTGTTCAAAAACTAAACATTAAACGGTACCATCCTTAGAGGAACAACTGCTATCAAGGTTTTCTAGTAACAGGAAAGGATTTTTTTTTTTTGCACGTTTCTGTGAAAGATTTTGTTCCAGTCCTTTTTTATTCATTTTTTAAACAACATTGCTCTTGTAAACCAATTCCAAAGTGTTTCAAACTAATTTGGACTGGTCTTTGATTAGGCTGCTTAAGAATCCTTTTTGTAAGTTTTATTCTTTTTGTGTTGTTCAGGGGGAAACTTCTACTACCACCAAAATGAAATTTAATTATTATCTAATGAGCTGACTCCTGGATATTCTCCTTCAGGATTACTGAAATATTATTTTTTTCATGCTTTTATGCTTACTCAAAATATAACTAGATTGATACCTTTCAAAAAGTTAATTTGTATCTTTATAGAATATTTCACCAACGCTAGATGGTTATATATTTTTTTTCATATCTTTTAGGTTTTTCATGTTTTCAGACTGATTCTATGTATTTAAAGGCTCCAACATGTTATGCAGCAACATAACCTGGATGTGGAATACGAATTAGCAAGTTTACCAAAAAAATTTATTATATTAGCTGGTCTAAAAAAGAAGGAGATGGCTTTCATTTGGTGCTAGTTAGATTTGAATAGCTGTTTCTCCCTAATAAATGACATAATCATTTTCAAATGTGCTTCATAATGGGCAATGATTGGTTTATATTAAATCATCAGTGTTTAAAAACAGAAGAAATGTGCAAAGCAAGCACCTTTTTCACATTACAATGAAAGACTGGTAGTCCAGGGTCAATTGCAAATTAGCCTGAGTTGTCTCCTTGATTTTTATCCTCAATTAATTTGTTTATTTGATTGCATTTGTTTCACATTTGATGTTAATGTTAGACACTATGAATGATCTCGGTCTTCAGTACATGCAACTATAGACTTTTCCTCAAATAACTAAATATGCTAAAATAAGTTACATCATGCAGGAAAGACACAGACTGGTCAAAACCTCTTCACTCAACCCCAGCATTAAAAATTTAAGTCCATTTGGTATTTATGCCAAAAGCCCATAGAATACTGCAATTATTATTATGTATCGGTGTACAAGCACAATACTGTCTAAATTGGAAATATTTGACATCTAAATACATTTTATTGCCATTCAGCTACTCAGCTGTGAAGCCGTATCACTAGCTAAGAACATGAGGCCATTAACAATCTTAAACCGTCCCTGGCCTACTAAAATAAACAAATAAATACCTTATAACATAGGTCTTTAACAGGGGGTCCGCGACCCCTGAGGGGGGCCGGAGGTACTGCATGGGGGTCGCGAAAGTTCTGGTTTATTAGACTTTTTTTTTTTTTTATATCCCCCCTCCGGCAAATTGTTTCAATTAATTGAAATGTCTCTAAATATAGATTAACATGAATTCAACACACAGTAGTAAACAGATAAATGGAGGCAGAAGATGTCTTTCAGTCATCAATGCACAGATTCAGCGACACACAGGAGCTTTTTCAAGCTATGCACCGTTTCATTCACAACACCTGTCCCATCAACCAGGAACCAGAATCAGAAATACTTTAATAATCCCAGGGAGAAATTACTTTTGTTACATTACTCCATCTGTAATAGAGTGACTATAAGACCAGTTTGATATAACACAATTTCATACTATGTGTATAATTAGGGGGCCCCACTTCATCACACCCTAACCTTGGCCTGGAAAACGGTGAAGACCCCTGCCTTATACCGTATGCTAAACATACTTTGCTGGTAGGATAAGACAAATATCAATCATTTTAGGACATTTATTAGCTGTAAAGGCCTGGCAGTGTGACTACTAGCACGGTAATTGTCAGCTGTAGCTTGCAGGACTAATTGCAAAAGGCTTACTAAACTACCCAAAAAAAGCACAAAAAAAATTTGTTTATGTAACTTAAGTTTATATAACAAGGTCAACTAACCCACAAAAATAAAATGATAGATGCATCCGCTAACACCTCCACTATAGTGCTGGCTAGATGTAGTACTCCCACTCTAAAATCCACAAAATCTGACACACATCCATAGAGAGATGCACTCCTACTGTTTGGCTATCTCTAGCAACTGTAGCACTACATTATGCCTATCTTTTTATCAATAAATGTGAAAATACATTTTTTGTTTGTATCCAAACAAAGTTATCTATTTGAAGTGAATGTGCGTCTGCCAAGGCATTTGCAACAACTCATAGGATCGATACAGGGCTGTTCTAAAAGATGCTTTTTCTTTGTTTAATTGACCATTAGACAGGAAATTAGATCGGGTTTCCACTGAACTGGATAAATGAATGCACAGAAGCCACAGTTCATAAAGAGGTATGAGGACGTTAAGTGATAACAGGGGGGTAAGTAGTTGTGGCAAGTTCATTCATTTTATGGTGTGATGTTTTGTTTTCTTTCTGGATACCAGGAAAGCAGCTGGATCTGTGTTTTTTATTGTTTTCCTTCTTTTTTTTTACTATTAATATTCCTTTTTGAAACAAAAGCACCTTCTTCTCACTGTTTACACACAATATAATCATCGCATTGTCATAAAAGACACACCATACCTGGAGGAATCCTAATAAACATCAGTAAATAATGACAAATCTTGTTTTTTTGTTGTTGTATTTTTACCTCCATCACTATTTTTTCACCTGCTGTATGAACTCAAAACTCTACTTCCAGATTAAAGTAATAATGACAACCGAAACATTAAATTATTGCATCTCCTCCAGCAGATGGAGCTCAAAAATAACCCTAGACAAAGTGAATAACTGAAGCACATCAGGCATATGTCTTTGTAGATTTGATCAGTCATAAATCCAGACCCATTTACCATCTGTTCCCTTGAGCTACAAGGGATCACAATAAGGACTCTTTATTAAACCCTGGGTGCCCAAAAGGTGAGTCAGAGGTGGCAATAATGGAAAAAATGCCACTTCAGTTGGCAGGAGCGTAATTGGATGAAATAAAACAGCTTCAAATGTCACAGCCGTCTTTCATGGTGAACTTTTGTCATCTCTGAATGACATTTTGGCAATCTTATTTATCCTCTGTTCATCTCCAACTCACCCACAAAAAAAAAAAAAAAAAAAATGTAGGCTCAAACTCTGCTACCAAACTTTTTTGTGTTTGTTTCCATTTGATTCAATGTAAATTTCTTTACCCTAGCAGTAGATTCAATTAAACAATATACCAGAAGTTAATTGATTAAACTATAAGATAATATGAGTCATGTTGAGTATTTAAAGGCAACCAAATTTGTTAGTTTTACTTATTTGACAGAATAAAATCCATTGAAACATTATGATTTCCTGTATTAAAGGAAAATCTGCCATTGAGGCTTTTACATCTCTAAGAAGGAATTATAACCTATTCCTCTTTGTTTTAACTAAGCCACCATAGAGTTTTTTTAATCATAAATGGCCTGTTTAGGGTCCCACCACAGCAATATGTTTAGACTTTGGCAGACTAAAGCAAAACAGGAAGTGGTCAGGATTTATTTTAAGTTATCAATCATATTCCAGGAAAATTCTATTCAAAATATGTTTCTTTCGGTCATAATTGTTTTACGCGATCTGACCCACATGCAGAGAACCACTCAGAGACCAAGGGAAAAAGTTTAACAGGTTTATTGAATGTTGATGAAACACAGAAGCAGGAGCTGGAACTCAGTGGACTGGTGAACCGGAACCGGAAAGTCTGAAGGAGAGGTTA